TGTGTCTTCTTTCGTCTTCAGGGAGTCCCGGGACGCTACACTAGGGCTTCATTTTATGCAGTGCCTGAATCAAGGGTTAAAGATTACTTAAACTATTATACTTGGATTACTATAGCTGTGCATTCCTGTAATACGAATGCCTCAGAGTAAATGAGACGTTGTCAGCATAGCCTGTGGTTCATGCTGCAGCGATTCGATAAGACCTGCAGAAACTAGCGTGTTTACACTGTTACACGAGTGGCTAAGGTAAATCTATAGGGAGCATATGTAGTATATGTAAGTTATCGTCATTTTTTATTTGTTATCTTGTTTTTTCCTTGTGCTGTTTTTGGGTACTTTTTAAATGTTGCCAGTAACTTGACCAACTTTGAGCTCATAAAAGCCAAATAAACTCACTTTGGTCAAAAATAATTTTTGACTGGTACTTACACGACAGTTTAGTTCTCTGCCCTAAAGTCACAAACAAATGTGGTATTTTATCTGCTACAAATAATTTTTTAAATTACTATTTCTATTTTTCTTTTGTTACCATATTTTTGTTTTGCTATGCTATTTAGTTGGCTTTGCGGGATCTCATCATACGTCAATTCTGCCTAGTGTCATTTCGCGGACGTAATGAGTGAGGATGTTGCTTCTGTTTTAGCGGAAGTCGGTGACTTCCAAAAAGATAAACTTAAACATGTTGATCCAACTGTCAAAAATGTCTTGCCTACCGCTGATGGTAAAGGGCGTTCCCTTTGATTCTTTGTAGATGTTAAGCACGAAAAGAATGAGACCCAGCTTATGCATGATATTGAGCAGGGTACTCATTTAAAGAAGGTTACAACAGTTGAGAAAAATCCTTTGCCAACGAAGGAGGGTAAGTTGGGGCAATGTATTTGCTAACATTGTCTTTATAACTCCTCCTCCACTTCTTGCAGCTTTTTGATAATTCTGACATGACTCATCTGTCATGTACCAGTCTTTTGCTGTGCTTTTTCTTATTATTTGACACGATTGTTGTTTGTCGTCTCTTCACTTACGTTATTATTTGTCCCCCTTGACAATTGACTACTTCTTCACTTCAGATATTGAAAGGGAGAAGAAAGAACAAAAGTGAATTTTGCGAATTTCGATAAGACTTTAATTAAACTTCCTTTCGATAATGTAACGATTTTATTAATCACAAATTTTTGTCACTTTTTGTGTTTTGATTTGTTTGAACAAAAAGTTGCTAAATTGCGCCTCGGTAGTGTTGATCTATTTCATTGGGACGTTCTGAGGCTATTGATTATCTCGCTAGCTCTTTCGTGTGTATTGTGCTCCTTTCCTTCTGTTACTAGCGTGTTCTCCTACCACACGTTTTTGTTGGCGATTCTTAGTCTTGTAGACCTCGGAGTGGTATCGAAGATCCCTTGTGTTTTCGTACCGCGCTTTACCCACTTCTTGCCGTTGTGGTCTCACTGCATGTCGGTTGCCGATGTGCATTGTTCGGTACTCTACTTCTTGGTTTTGCAGTGCTGAACTTATCCTTATGCATCTAGGGGATCTCTGCATCTATTTTGACGGTTTTGGTTATTACTTGTGACACCTGGGCAGGTGAGGTTGTTGATTCGTTCCCCTTTTATGACTTGGAATGGTTTCTTGTGTGGTTTTGTTGGTGTGAATAACTAAGCCAAAGTAAAGATATCGGTGTCATGCTGTTCTATTACTAAAGCCACCAGTGATTCTGAGCCGATTGCCTTCGGGGTGCGAGGCTCCGACGGGTCACGAGAGTTCTCATGGTACGAGCCCGGTTCGTGCCACAACACGAGTCAACGCAAATGACAAAAGTCAGTTAGGTGTGTTTGGAAGTCTACAAAGATTGCCAGGTTGGGTCACGATCGTACCGCACTAGGTGTTTTTCCGTCTGGTGACGTTTGCACCACTCATAGTATGCGCGGTGGCGCAGGTGTTTTCCGGAATTTGTATTTCTTATCGGTTGTTAGTTTTATTGTGTTGGCTCACTGTTGACAGCCCTTAGCGCTGATCTGAGATCTACCTCATAAGACGACAGCGGGAACCATTGTAGTTGATCAAAATGGGCTTTGTTCTGTCGATCATGTCTTGCACTTTCAGGGCTTGTATGACTTCTATCTGCCTTTAATGGGCTTAAGTTTTATTTCCCCGGAATTATCAGCCGCATTGTGGTACGGCGGTTCGACTCCGATAGGAAGATGCGTTTTTAAACCTAGGAATTAGCGTTTGTTGCCACTTGTGAATACTTTGGCTTACGAAATTCTCCAAGTCGTTTGGGGGGTGTTTTGTTACGGTGTGGATTTCCCAATAAATGTATTGAAAACCATGTAATCAACACTTCGCGGAATTAGCCATCTGTTGTATGTTGTAAACGGGATACTATTTAGCCATCTTGCTCAAGTTTTTGGACGATGTAGGGGCGATGGTACTTATGAATGCTGCTGAGTCCTGGTCAGCTGTGAGAGGCTCGACCGCGGTGGATTTCGGTTATGTACGACATCTCAAATAACTGCGCCCCTCGATTTATTTTGCAAATGGGTTGAGCATAGTAAACTACAAGTAATAGTGAGGCGTTTGGTTTAGCAAAAGAGGGACTAGATTACGCACCAAAGCTAACGTCTGTTAGTGCTGTTATCTAGGCTGTTGCGCTGATTACTTTCTTCCATATCACATATCACACCAGTTGTGAAGTAGTTATTATTGAAAAATACATACCTTCTAGCTCGCTTTCACGTGAGATCGAGTGGAACAATTAGGCAAAACCTTGATATAAGTATCTCGAGCTGGGAATTGCTACGTAGTAGGGAATTCACGTTAACGCTAATTACTGGTGGGACTAATTACTGTGTGCGTACAGTCGGAGCCGACAGCGTATGACAATCGACGCATTTTGGGAGCAATCGGAGGTTGGTACTTAAATTACGCAAATACGCTACCATGGAAGTTCAGTAGTTAGCCTGGCTTTAACCATGGGGACTGCACATTCGCGTAACTTTCTTTTGCCTTCACAACAAATCATTCAGTTTTTATGCCTAATTTGCATTCATCTACATAACCTTAGTAATGCAAAATGCGAACCAATGTTGACTATTGGAATTAATCTATTCACTGCATTATCATCAAAGTTGGCGTTTACGCCTCTTTGTTATTACTCAACTTATGTAGGGAATCCTTAGTGGAATCGGTGTAACAGGTTTAGCATTTCTCTCTCCCATCTCTGCTTTTATGCCATTGGAACGAGCAGATGGATTAGAGGATGCCATTTTGATTTGGTAATCGTTGTAAGTGTGCATGGGAGATCAAGATGATAGGTGGTCAGAGGTCGTTCCCTCCTCAAGGGTCAATGCCGTCCACTTAGTCACGGAAGTGGTGTATGATGACCGCTTCTCACTCAAATAAACACGTATTTAACGGATCCCCGGACTTGAATGTGGTTTCGGCCACCTGAGGTTCAGAAATCACATTGTAGTGTCTTACACCATCGAACTCAACACTGCTTTGCGTGCGCGAAGGCCATCTTGTCCTAGTTCCAAATTCACACCAATATGCATGCAACTGAAGCTACTACAGTTTGCTACAAGTTGGTCTAACCGCTTTACTATTCACGCCAGCTAATTAAAGTGAGTATCGGCACCTGCATTTCCTATTGTCAACTTCAGGAATGTTTGCACTTTTAGATCATCGCGACATTTACCAAATGAGTGAGTTTTTAAGCGCACTTGTATCGGCAGAAGAACATGCCATCACCCCTCGTCCCTTTGTGAACTTTCCTCTAATGCACGAAACTCATCGTTCATCTCTAAAAGTAGTATGACCTCATATTTTTAATGAGTCTCTTTAGGTTTTGCGCAAAAGGGGTAATTTGTGGTTAGCTGAATCTACTTGACGGAGTGAAAACGCATACTGTTTGACGCCGTTCAAAAGCAAGAGCTGGCAGTGGAAACTGTACATTCTGTCTTCCATTGGAAGGCATGGGTAGCAAGCAAGGTGTGCCCTCTTCAGTTGTTGACAGGGCTGTGAGAGCTCACGCTCATCTGATAACACTGCGTCGTGAGTGCAACCCGTGGAACGGTTGAAGCAGCACGATCGCTTAGGAGGATAGTCAGTCTTCAATGAATCAATGCCTTTACAGTTTTTCATCCTAAAGCACGACCAAAGAAGAGTACTTACTGGTCTACCATTGTAAACTGGGTATTCTTCTCAATGTTTACACACTGTCAGGTATTTGAATATATGATATTTCTTATTTAATCCGATTTTTGAACCTGCTGGGTGGTTTTCAACCATTACTACGAGAGTTTCAGAACTGGTTGTCATCACGCTAAAGGGATTATGTTCCTTGGGTAAAGAATGGCAAGATAGCAGTATGCCCCACGAAGTTCTTACTTCTTCTACAGGTCATGGGCCTCTCCGGGATCACTAACCCCAAAAGTCAACGGTCTTGAACGGAGTTGGACGTGTGCATACACGATTATGCCTCCCAAGGTGGTGGTAAAAGTGCATACCCAAATGGCTCTTGTTGTCATGACAATAATGTCACGTGAAAACAGCTTTTTGCCACAGGAGATTGACAATTAATTTTGTTTGACGTCTAGTAACGTTTTGGACCAAGTAGAGTTTGCTGAAGTGTGCTTCGAGGTTGGTGAGATAGTTAACAGGCCTAGAATGCCACTTGGGGCGCGTTTCATTGCAAACGTGAGAGTGAGGAGATTGATAACAAAGCTGGAGAGTTAATGTTTTTAACAGAGTATGGGTTAGTTAACAAATGATCTGTCTACAGGTTGACTGCTGAATATTGGCCATCTTCTGAAAGTACTCCCGAGGGAGTACTCTGGCGTCTAGAGACTACCATGAAGACAAAAGGCGTGCAGGTAGGCTGAGGGACTATTGGCATGGGCCACAGGTAGCCCCACTTATAGAAAGCACAATGGTGGAGACACAAAGCGGTCCCCTCACCAGAACCATGAGTTAAAAAACCAACGTATTACAATACTATGTACTCATAAACAATGTGCGTTTATACTGGGAAATAATGGGACCGAAAGTTTGACCTTGTCAGCTAACTCCCATTAACTAGCTTTTTTAAACTGATAATAGTCTTTGCATGATGGCAATTGGGAATATTTCGGTGGTTTTAGAGTTGTCACCTTTAACTATTGCGATTGAAACGGCAACAGGTTAGAAGAATGAGGAAAGAAAAATGGTGAGATTTTACAGCGTGTTCCAATAAATGCCTTTTCAATTTTTCCCTCTTTATTAAACTTATTTTCTTCCCCAATTTTCAAACACCAAGAGTTTTATACAGATTATGTCTAAACCAATGTACCAATTTTCCTTCATTTTGAATATAGAATTCCTCCTGCTCGACTAAAGCAAGTTTATCTGCCACGAACATTAGCTGTTCGGCTCCAGGACACTCTTCAAAGCATTCTCCTCAACGTCTCAGAATATTCTGGTCCAAATTTACCATATGATTTGCTCACGAAATGTGCTCATCAACCGAATCACGGTAAAATTAATCCATTACATCACAAACTAGTTATTTCTTCTGCTCTCTGATATAGTCTATCGGCTCTACTCTGCAACCTGAATAAATTATGCACGCATCGCTTTGCTAGCTCGGCATCGCAGCATTTAGCGAAGGATCTTTCATCAAGCCACCTCGTGTTCAAACAACTTTTCAGTTCTGGCAGTGGTTAGGGGGTTCCCTCTTTTCTAGTGTTTTAAGCTGCTAATGATTGCTCCCGCAGCACCTTCCAGTCTAGCGTTTAACCGTTGTTCATCAGAGCCACATCGAAAACGGAAAGTTTGCTGGCGCTGGCCATTTGTTAATTGCGTGTAAAACAATTCCACGTAATACTGCTTCTACATAATTATATTGCTTAAAGTTAAAAAAATCAGAATTACACTCTGATTGTGTGTGCATATGTTCTGTTCCCATCAACGGTAAGTTCAACTAATGCATGGTCAGATACGTGGTTTTCAACAATTCAATTGGGTCATGAGGGTATAACAGTTGTTTGTGAGATGGTTTTCCATGCCTCAGGCACACCTGACCAAAAGACCATTTTTCTTCGCTTAAAATAAGTGAAATTGTAATCCGAAAACTTCCTCATCCCATACTCCACCTAGAAATGCCTACATTTTAGTTGTTGCTATCAGAAGAAAGCACACAATAGCGGATTGTATCGGCGAGTAAATGGGAGAGGTTGTGCATATATGGGGGCGGACAGGCTGCGAGACTTGCATGCTAGTTTAGCCGAGTTGACACTGTTTATCCTGTCACATCGATTCAACCAGTTGACAACAGGTTGACGACGCGAGCAAATCACATTCCCGTTTGAGAGGCACTTGCACCACCTTCCCCTCGCCCGCAATTCCGTGCCCGCCTTGTGGAGGGGACTGGCTTTCGTCATAAAATTAAGACTCATTTTCCTCAGATTCTCCGTTTCACTCTGCAAACAGTCGCATATAACTAAAAATAAGTTGATAACGTCTTTGTGAAATGTGTGACTTGTCTTTTGTCGAAAAAAAACACTCAATCTCAACCAAGAGACGGCTGTTCGAATATGTCCAAGTAAGTCAAATTGTCTCGCAACCCTAAATTCCCTCCACTGTTTTAGAAACTAGCACTAGTCGGCCCATAGATTGCAAATAGCCACTTGCAACACGAAACGGGGCATACACAATTGTCTCGTACTATAAATACAAGGTCCCCTTGACTCCAACCGACCGCTAACCCGGTGGCACTACCTCAGCTGTAGTTGAATTAAGGGCATCATTTGTCATTGCAGAAAGATCATACATCA